GAGAGGCAGAGAGAGGCAGAGAGAGGGAGAGGCAGAGAGAGGCAGAGAGAAGCAGAGAGAGGCAGAGAGAGGCAGAGAGAGGCAGAGAGGCAGAGGCAGAGAGAGGCAGAGAGGCAGAGAGAGGTAGAGGGAGGCAGAGAGGCAGAGAGGCAGAGGCAGAGAGAGGCAGAGAGACAGGGAGTTATTATTTTAATGTCATCAAGTTGCTTGAAAACAACAATTTATTAGTAGTGAATATTTTTCCATTGTTAGGTAGTGTTTTACAACATGTGATTGAGAGCAGGTTTGGGTTAATTACAGTAACCTTGACTTATAAGTTATTTGACCGTCACCTGCCTTCTTTGAATGTTTCTCTTCTGTAAGCGGAGATCTTGTCTGTCTATCATACAGGGATGCTATAGACTTAGGATGACACAAATAAGGCACTCACACCTTCTTCAGGAGCAGTCTTCCTTGATACAATTCTTTAGTGTTTCTTGGAGGAAATACCCTGACTCATTTAGTCAGGTATAAACCTATAGCTTACTTTCACTATTAGCAACATAAACAATAGTGACATTTCCCACACAGTTCTATTTATTATTTAGGATTAAACCTATTAGGATGATTACTGAAAACTTCTAACACATCAGAGAACTACCTATCAACATCTATTTACTGAATTAAATATTCTCACATTGCTTTAAATATATATTCAATTCTGGCCAACTCTGAATTTTTTAAAAAAGATCTATGCTAACTTTTAAGGCAAACCCTATCCCTGCTTAGCATATTTCTTTTTATACATCTCATAGTTTCTTCTTTGTTGTACTATAAGGCTCTTTAAAGTATGAGGATGGCATAAAAAGAAAAAAGGTGAAATAGATTTTAAAAAAGTTAAATCTCTCCCTTGTACTATCTATAATACAGTTCATGTGGATTAGAATGTTAATGGGACAAGTGTCTGTGTCACTTACAAGAGAGTATGAGCCAGCATAAACTGATCTTGGCAGGAAGAGAACTGTTTAAAGGCCCATCACAAGGGCACTGCTGGTACTGGGTTTTCCAAATGTGTGCTTCTGATACAGAGTGGTTCAATAGCCAAGCCAGGGAAAATGCTACAGAAACCAATACCATGATTGATTACCTCTACCTATCAGCAATCCAAGATCACCATACATTATACACTCTAAACAATGTAAACCCAGCAGATGTATCTGCAGAACATGGTCCAGTATACGCCCAAAGCATGCCCTTGAGTATTTTTACTGGTTGGGTGTTTGTGTGTGGCAGGGAGGGGTGGTGGTGAAGGGAGAGGGGACAGAGATTTGCTAAATATCCCAAACTAGGCTAGTAATCTTTATCTTTATCTTCCTTTCTCACCCTTCTGAGAGTTAGGAGCAGCTGCCACACCTGGTTTCTTAAAGCAGACACTTGACAGACTCCTATCTTCAGACATTCTGGAGCCACCACTTGTCCTCTGCAAAATGAAAATTCATTAGCACCAGAGGTTCAGAGAAGTACTACCATGGAAAAACAAGTCAAACTAATTGCATTCGTTACTTTTTGGTTGTTGTGATAAAACACTATTATTAAAAGGAACCATGGAAGAAAGAGTTTATTTTGGCTGGGGGAGGGTGTGTGTTTGTGTGTGTGTGTGTGTGTGTGTAACAAGGGGCAGCACCACTGTAAATGGACATCACAGTGGCAAGAGCAGGGAGCTATGTCTTCAGCCATTAACACACTGCAGAGAGAGCAAACTGGAAGGGTGTGGCTGGTAGCTATAAATTTTCAAAACCTGCCCCCAGTGGCTTACTTGCTCCAGCAAGGCTGCACCACCAACTGGGGACCTAGTGTTCCGTTATCTAAACCTACTGAGGACACGTCATTCAAACCACTACACTGATTTAGTCTGACTTGACTACAGAATCTTTCCTTCAGCTTGATGCTACTAACCTCCATATGATTCATGGTGTACACCCTAAAACATACTTGAGTAGGAAAGTGCAGTTCTCTGTGAAGGAAGCGCTGTTGTCCCTGTGTTGGAATTTTACTGATCGAGGCTCCATTTGAAGGACTTTCTGACATGCCCTATTGAAACTCAGTGCTGATGTAAATATACAAACTCCACATTAACTTGCTGCTTGCCAAAATACACTCCCCGACACAAGATTGCTTTGGATTTAATTTTTGGCATATCATTTTTTATATACTCACATGCTAAAAAGTATAAAATGATTTACATTAGTAACAAACAATCCTAAAATATATTTTGGATTCATACTAAAAAGTTTGAAGTACATTTTGTTATGATTTTAAGAATCACAAAATTAGAACAAGTTATACTGTTTAACTGTTTAAGGAACAGAGCTAATGGGAGAGAAGGAAAAAGGAAGGGAATGAGAGTGGAGACTAAGACTGAGAAAAAGGCAGGGTTATTATTAGAGTTAAGTTGTAACTGTTTTTTTTTTTTTGGCTTTTTCGAGACAGGGTTTCTCTGTGTAGCCCTAGCTGTCCTGGAACTCACTCTGTAGACCAGGCTAGCCTCGAACTCTTGAACTCAGAAATCCACCTGCCTCTGCCTCTCAAGTGCTGGGATTAAAGGCGTGCGCCACCACCGCCCAGCAAGTTGTAACTGTTAAGTGACCTCTTAAACCTTATTTTCTTTCTAACAAAAGTATACATCATTACTATGTAAAGGGAAAGAGAAAGAGAGAGAGAGAGGGAGGGAGGG